ATTGTAACTGTAGGGTTGTCGGTCTCTTTCTTGTATGCAGGTTTTACTTCCTTTGGATCTGTTTCCAGGAGTGGGATAGCTAGGTCAAATGGTAGATCAATTCTCAGCTTGTTGAGCACTCCCCATCCTGACTTCCATTGGTGGCTGCTTTCCCAAATATTGTCCATCTCCAGTTGGTTGAATCCACTAGTACAGAGGATAATACAAACTTGGTGACTTAAACAAACAAACATAACAACCCAGAAACATGTGGTTTCAGAGGCTCAGAGCATGAGCTCAAGGTGCTGAAGTTCCGGGTCAAGTTCACGTCCCTCTGAAGACAGCCCAGGGTGGGATCCCTCTGGTGCTGACCGGCAGCCCCGCACTCTCCCTGCCTTGTCCTGTCCTCATCTTCCCTTGACATGCTTTCCCAAGGCCCTGCTTCCCAATCAGCTCACACAGTCACAGGTGCTGGGGGCGAGGAGAGGGGTGGTACTTCAGCAGACTGCCCAGGGGACACAGCTCACGACACCATACTCAGGGTGACCGGGCCATGAATGGACAGTCTCCACCAGCTGCCCTGGGTCCGTGGCCTCTCCCTCTTCCCAGGCAAAGACCTCTGCCCCCCTCCTACCCTCTGCCTCATGTCTTGTTGAGACTCTGCCCAAGGCCTCGCCTCCTTGGTCCCTCTAGTCCAAAAAGCCCATTCCATCTCCTGCACTCTTTCCATTTCAAGTTTGCTTTTTTTTTTTTTCTGGACAACTTCCTGGGGACGTTTAAAAAAATACACAGGCCGTGCAGGACATTCAGCTTAGCTCCGTAAGCTTTGCTAAGGGGTACAGCCCCCCTCCATCCCCTATTTGTGTCCCTGACCTTTTTTTTTTTTTTTAAAGATTTATTTTTATTATTTTTTTATTGGAAAGGCGGATATACAGAGAGGAGATACAGAGAGGAAGATCTTCCGTCCGATGATTCACTCCCCAAGTGAGCGCAACGGGTCGATGCTATGCCGATCCGAAGCCAGGAGCCTCTTCCGGGTCTCCCACATGGGTGCAGGGTCCCAAAGCCTTGGGCCGTCCTCGACTGCTTTCCCAGGCCACAGGCAGGGAGCTGGAAGGGAAGCGGGGCTGCCGGGATTAGAACCGGCGCCCATATGGGATCCCGGGCGTGCAAGGCGAGGACTTAACCACTTGCGCCACCGCGCCAGGCCCTGTCCCTGACCTTTGAATACCCGTCCCCATTACTGGCTGGAATGTCACTGGGGCCGGACTAGACTGTCACCAGTCTTGCTTATCCATGCATCCTCCTCCATCTGCTGGCCCGATCACTGTAGGTGGGGGCTCATGGGAAGTGCTTGCTGAGTTAGAGTTGGGACGTTCGGCTGGGAATTAACCGAGCAGAAACTGGGTCGTCACCTGGAATGCGCATTGAAGGAAAAGGACACCCGAGGCGAATCAGGCCGAGTGCCTGACTCCCCAGCGACAGCACCACCTGTTCCTCTATGTGTGTCCAAGTACAGATCTGCAGCCATGTGTGTGTGTGTGTGTGTGTGTTGTCCATGGGCGTGCTTTGGTGAAAGTCCCAGGGCTGGAAGGCCGCAGCAGTGGTAGGTGAGGCAGAGGAAAGTGGACACCTGCATGTGTTGCCCGGCCAGCGTCACTGCACAGTGCATTGCTGGGCAGTTGGGGACAGAAATAGTTCATGCCTGACAAAGCAAGTCCCAGTTAGGAGTGGCCCCGAGGGTGCCTACGCTGGGATTTCATGGCATAAGGTTCTGGTGTCTCCAACTCACTGCTACAGTCATAGGTATGCACCTCCTTGGCTGAAACGGGCTGCCCAAGCTGAGGGCTGCGTTGGGTGGGCATCTAGGCCAGCCAACCAGGCATTGGTCTGCAGGTGGGTGGGCCTCTTGGTGCCGTGATGTGCTGATCCAGAAGCCGGCCAACCCCCTGCCATACCTCCCTGAGTCCAGGGAATTCTCCGGAACTGCAAGGATACTTTGAAGTAAGGGGACCAATAGTGGAAATAAGGGAGGAACTTGGAGCTGCCTGTCTCCCACCTGCACCTTGCACTCTGGTTGTGACCTGAGTGTGACCTGCGACTGTTTCTAGCCATGGGTGGCAATCCCAGCCTCTCGGTGGCCACCCAGGAAGCCAGAGGCTACACACACACATCTTGAGGGTGTATCAATTCCTGACCCAAGTCCACACACCCCAGCCCAAAGGGGGCACCAGAAGAGGAAGCAGAGGAAAAAGGGGCATAGTGGTGTCCGCTACAGATGGCTCAGCCGTTAGCCATGGTGACCTCTGCGGCCAGTGCAGGGGCCCATGTCCCTGCCAGAGAAGGTGAGGGTGCGACCGAGGCCCTCTCTGCTGATGGGTGAGTTGGCTCACTTCGCAAGATGTTGGTCCAGGGCTGAGTCCTCGCATCGTGAGGTTCTTCCCTGGACATTGTGTGTTCTGAATAGTTCCAATCCCCAAAGTGTCTTGTGTAGGGAGGGAAACGGAAGCCAGGCTGCTGTGCTGACCACCACCCAGGGACCCTCAAACTGGACTGCTGGCCAGTGACAAAATCATCATCCTCAATGAGAGAATAATCAGCTGAGGAGAAGGGACAGGCATCCTTTTGCACATGTAGGTGGAACCAGGGACACAGAGTCAACACAGTTTTATACCTGGGTGGGTCACAAAATGGGAGGGGTCGGTGGGAGAAGCCTGAACTAGTGAGTCTCGAGGTCCGGAGTTTAGAGTCACAGGGAGGACACCGTGCTAGTCCTGATTCCGATCCCTTAGCGCAGGAGCTAAGGACTGTGACCTCAGAGCCAGAGGGCAGGCGCCTCTCACCCCACAGCAGGCAGGAAGGGGCGGAGTTTGTGCTCTGCTTGGCTTGCTTCTTCCTTGATACTGAAGTGCTCGAAGGCTGGCTGCCTTTTCTTGTTAGGACAAGAGTCAGAATCCTTAGCGTAGCCTGCCAAGTACTGAACTGTATGTAAACTTTTAACATATTTATTATATATTCATACACTATATACATTTTTGTATATATTCCTTGTTTACTCTTGTCCTCAGCATTTGGCCATGGAATTTTTCTTCCTTTTTTTTTTTCCAGGGGAGTCTTCAGTAATATTCACATATGATTTTTGGGGGGAGGGGCGGAGAATTTTGTTTTAAAGGGTTATTTTAAGCCTGGTACTGTAGCCTATGGCTAAACACCTTGCATGTGCCAGCATCCCATATGGGCACTGCTTCGTATCCCAGCTGCTCCACTTCCCTTCCAGTTCCCTGCTTGTGGCTTGAGAAAGCAGTAGAAGATGGCCCACTGCCTTGGGACCCTGCACCTGCATTCATGGGAGACCCAGAAGAAGCTTCTGGCTCCTGGCTTCGGATTGGCTCAACTCCAGCCATTGTGGCCACTTGGGGAGTGAACCAGAGGTTTATTTTGAAAGGCAGAGATAAGAGAGGAGAGAGAAATCTTCATTCACTGGTTCACTCCTCAAATGTCTGCAACAGGTAGAACCAGCTCCCATTTGGGATGTTTGTGCTTGAAGGTGGAGGATTAGCCAGTTGAGCCATTGCACTGGGCCCCAGAGTCCATCCCCTTTAAGTGGACCACACCAGCACCGGAACCTGGACTGGCTCCTCTGCTCTATGTGATACTCCATAAAGAAGCTGACCAAAGCCTAAGGAGTCAGGACGGGTTGCCTCTGTATGCCTTCCCCAGGGGCTGGGGGGCGTGGTGCTGAGCCTCAAGTCATTTGCCTTTGGAACTGGTAGAAGAGCCCAAGCTAGGGCCAAGGCTCAGCAGCGGGAGGCATCTGTCCCTGAGAATCCAGGAGCAGCAGAACATGCCAGCACCCCACCCCCTACCCCACCGACCTGCACATCCCCACTGGGCAGGCCCTGGTGTTGCCCAGCCGCTGGCTCTGCCCTCCCTCCCTCTGCACATGTGCTGTGGTGCCAGGCTCCAGAGAGTTTGCTCTGTGAGGCGAAGAGAGGGAGTTCACGTGCATTGGATTGCAGGTGTCTCTGCTGTCCCTTCTCAGGGACTGCAAACACAGCATGCTTTGGTCCCTTCTGCTTTTTCGTTTGTTTGTTTGATGCCACTCATGCCAGTGTTTTGTAACTAGCAGAGGGGCCCTTTGCCAGGGTCCTTTGCCAGGAGCCAGCGCCACGTTAGCCCGTTAGCACAGCTGGAGCCTCCAACCCAGCTCTCCAAGGACCATGGGGTGGGGCGGGGTGGCGTGGGATAAGGCCGAGGCCAGTACTGGGGTGTGTGTGAGAGAGACATATTTCAGCATTGATCCCTCAGGATCTACTGCCTTGGGTTCTGGGGTCCCCATCTCAGTGTTGGGGGCAGGACCCCCACCTGCTCCCACTTTGATGCTTCTGAGACTTGAATGGCAACGATCTGTTGCAGGGTCTGACACCTGCCTCACCTTGTGGTGGGCACAGCTCATCTCTGTCGCTGGTGTCTAATGGACTCGGACCTCCACAGGCATGCGCGAGGTGTGGCTCCAGGGCAGGTCCGCCCTCCCATCATCACGAGGCTTCTGTCATGTGACCAGTCCATCCCCATAGGAATTGTCTCCCAATGTTGATGCCCAGGCTTCCCCAGATCTCAGGAATGTGCAATTCTGTTTTTTTTTTTAAATAAATATTTATTTGTTTTACTTGAAGAGAGAAAGATCTTTTACCCATTGTTCACTCCTTCAGATGGCTGCAATGGCCAGAGCTGGGACTGTCCAAAGCGAGGAGCCAAGAGCTTCTTTCACATCTTGCATGTGGGTACAGGGGCTCAAGGCTTTGGGCCGTCCTCAACTGCTTTCCCAGGCCACAGGCAGGGAGCTGGATGGGAAATGGAGAAGCTGGGATATGAACAGTTGGCCGTATGGGATGCCAACACCTCAGCTGAAAGTTTAGCATGATGTGTCACCGCAGGGTGTGTGCCCTGAAGGGTTATTTCTAGCCTAGAGCTGCGGAGTTGGGGAGCCTCACCCCATCACCTTCCCTTGTCTCCTGCAGGAACCAGGGGGAAATGGCCCACACCTGCCGTGGCACCATCAACTTGGCCACAGCTCACATAGACACGGAGAACTCTTGTGGCATCTTGCTGATCAGCGGGGCCAGGAGCTACCACCTCAAGGCCAGCTCGGAGGTGGACCGGCAGCAGTGGATCACTGCCTTGGAGCTGGCCAAGGCCAGGGCTGCCCGCATGATGAAAATCCATTCAGGTAGGGGGCCTTCAACACAGTGCTGTGCGGACTGTGGTCTTGGATCTGGAGGAGTGGGAACTGGAAGTGTTTGGGGCTGCTGTATTGGGGAGGGGAGGGGAGAGAAGGGGAAGGGAGGGAAAGGGAGGGGAGGGCAAGGGATGACCAGGAGATTCGGGCTGGTTCTGACCAAGCCAAAAGGTCAAGCGTGTGTGTGCTTGCTACGTCCGCGCATCGTTAATCAGTGAGACTTTCAGCTGCTCAGACAAGGCTGTCAGGGTGACCAGCAGTCCTCGGGTTTTTACCTTAATATGTTTTTAATGTTGTGCATTTCATCTGAGAGGCAGAGAGTGAGAGAGCGAAAGACAGCAAGCGGGTGAATGGGCAGGAGAGCTCTCCAGCCAATTTGGTGCACTCCCGAAGGCTTGGCAGCAGAATGGGCTGGGCCAGGGCTGAAGCCGGGAGCTGGAATGCAGCCCAACCCTCCGCAGGAGCCCCATTCCTTCTATGGGTCCCCTTACTTCAAGGTATCCTTGCTGGGTGCAGTCCAGGGTCTGCCTTCATGGGAGGCGGGGGTCAGAAGCTGGAACTGGATATTTAACTTGGGTGCTATGGTGTGGGGTGTAGACGTGTTAGGTGCTGGGTGAGGTAGCTGACCCAGTGAAGTTCATTTCATGATATGAAATGCTTGTATAGGGATCTCTAAAGCTGCTCCACGCCCTGTTTGGCTTCCTGCAAAGGCAGACCCAGGGGCGGGGAGGGCGAGGTGCCGGCTCAGCGTTTGCATCCCTGCTGCTGGGCTACTGGGAGCGCACACTTGTAAGACTGAGAGGTGCCATTATGCTGCCATTCCCAGGGGTTAGATCATGAGTCGCAGGTGTCAGCGTGTGTGGCCCCAGCCACCCCACAGCCATAACCGACACTTGTGGTGCGTGACAAGCGTGTCTGTAAGGTTCAGGAGCCGGGAACGGGCAGCGCACCGCCCCCCCATCGCCCCAACAGTGCTTGGTTCTCGGACCTGCGCATGTCTCCCAGGAGGCCGAGCTGAGGCGGGAGGAGGCCTGACCTCTGGGCTCTGGCGTCTTTCAGGCTGGGAGAGCTAGGCAGCGCGTCCTGGTAAGGAAGCAGGAAGAAGGACTGGACCCTTGGCACCACACTCCAGCCTGTGCCCACCTCTGAGGTCTCTCCCAGCGCCTGCATTGCCGTATCTCCACATCGTGCTTGGTGGTCTCTCCACATTGCAACTTTCCCCCAGTGTGCCCTGGGTGGGGGTCCTGAAGCCTCACCCAGTCCCTTCTCCTCCTTTCTCTCTTTTTTTATATTTTTCTTTATTTTTGAAAGAACTTGTTTATTATTGGAAGGGCAGATCAGATTTACAGAGAGGAGAGATAGAAAGATTCCACTTACTGCCACAGCAGCAGGAGCGAGCCAAAGCCAGGAGCCACGAGCTTCCTCCATGTCTCCCACACAGGTGCAGGGTCCCACGGCTTTTGGGTCATCCCGGACCACAAGCAGGGAGCTGGATGGGCAGGAGAACAGCCGGGATACGAACCTACTCCCGTATGGGATGCCTGTGCTTAGACGTAGAGGATTAGCCGGTTGAACTGACATGTCATCCCCTCTTCCCCTGCCTTTTTTTTTTAAGCCAAAATTTGGAATTCTTTCTTAAATAAGCATTGTAAGCATAACACTGATCCTTCTTAAAAACTCTGGGTGCCACACATAGGTCACACAGATAACTTAGAAGGTAGTCTCCCCCTGTAAAAGTGACATCTCATTGCAGAAACCTACTCTGCACAAAGGAGTTATTCTGGAGCTCATGATAGGCACATGTCTAATGTGACAGATACCCAGGGCGTAGTTAACGCAAACCGTGTGAGCAGTTCCCTTTGGCCTTTGCTCTCCCCGGTGGTGGAACTTGAATTTTGTCTTAAAATTGGCACCACCGGCTCACCCTTGGGCGTTGAATTGTGTCTTGTCTTGGATTTCATAAAGCCTCAGCCCAGCAGTGTTTGGTTTTCACATCCCCGAGTGCCTGTCCGTGAGCACACCGTGTGAATTCCACACACCACATGGCAACAAAACCACGATTCAGCTGCTGTCATTTGGGGACAGCGTCCGTATGACAGCAAGTCCCTTCGGCAGACCCGCCTCTTCCAGTGTGTTCCTCCACTGGGACCTTCATCTTGGCCTTTGGGTGGTTTGGGGCTTGTCTGCCAGCGCCAGCCCTGCTGCAGCCTGTTCCTTGTGCAGCCACACGAGGGCAGCAGAGATGAGCTCTGGTCACTCACATGCTGGGGACCCTCACCGAATTATCAGCTTTCATTCCTGGCTGCTGCCGCCCCCGGCAGGTCAGGCACCTAAGGGAGTGAACCAGTGGATAGGAGCACTTTCTTGTTTTCAAAAATAAACAAACAAACAAGCACTTAAAATGTGGGACTTTGGCCACATAACTATACTGCTTATAGTGTCAGGTGCATCTGGACATAGCTAGAATCCCGTATCCCCTTCAGTGGAACACGTGGTCCTGGGCGATGCGTATGGAGCATTCTCTGCGTGGAGCTTCAGTTCAGCTGCCAGGTTCTCCACGTGGCAGCTGATCAAACAGCACACGCCTCAGCAGCCACTGGGAGTGGGGCGGGGTGGCAAATGGGAAATCACAGGGGGACCTGGGAGAAACTCCACGAGATCCATCCGGGGGAGAGACAACATACCCAGGCAGACGGGCTGGTGGAGCAAAAGCTGGGGCCTGAGTGTTGGGGAGAGCTGCGCCAGCCCCCGCAGGTCCCAGAGAAGAAAGCGTAACCCACAGCCCAAAACAACGGAGAGAATGAATGCGACCCATAGCCGGTTCTTTGAAAAGATCCACCCTCAGTGGCAAGCTACCATGAGACTGACTTGGGACCTGCACCCACCTGGGAGATCTGGTGGAAGAAGCTCCTGGCTCCAGATCGGCTGGGCTCCGGCCATTGGCCATTGTGTCCGTTTGAGGAGTGAACCACCGGATACACTGTGTTGACTGCAGCTACCTTCAGTGATTTTTTCCAGTGCCTTCTGAGCCCTTCCTCTCCCCACCTCCTTCCCCCCGTTTGGCTCTGTGTGTGTGTGTGTGTGTGTGTGTGTGTGTGTGTGTGCATGTGTGTACACCGAGGGCCTGGGCTGGCAGTCTCCTCTCTACTCTTGCTCCGACAGGTGGTTTTGGCTTCTGCTGGTTGTGGTCTAGAACCTTCCAGCCCCTCCTTCGCTGCCTGCCTGGCTCCCCTTCTCAGATCCTTGTCCTCTGCTCCCCACTCCCACCCCAAACCCTCAAGACACTGCTTGTCTCAGAACGTGGCGGTCCAGGAGGGTCCACTCCCTTGGGGCCAGCACAGCTGTTCCTTCTCCCTGCTCGGCCTTTCCAGCCTACCCTTCCTTCAGGGCAGCTCCTGCCTCGGCCCATCCCCGCGTCCTCCTGACCGGGTGACCCCTCAGCGCCCACCAGGCAGTCCCTGCTGACTCTGGAACCTGGAAGGTCGTTCTCCGATGCTTATTGCTGCCATCTGGTGGCAGGATGGAGGCTTTCTCCCAGGCAGGGCTGGGTGGTCCGTTTCTTAGAAGGACCTCACTGGGTCATCAGTGTGGACTCTCCAGGGAGCAGATCTCAGCACGTCGCTCACCAGCGGGGTTACCCAGAAAATGAGTCTCGGGGTGGGTGCCGCCTGCAGCCCGCAAGGAGGGCCTGCGATTTTGTTCCCCACCTGCCGTCCTCTCCCCCAGTGGCTCTCGGGTTCCTTGGTGTGGTGCGTGTCTTCCGCCATCACCGTCCGGCTGCCCCGAGGCCAGAGGGCACCCAGCCCAGGGCCTTCTCTGGTCACATCACCGCTGGCAGCCTCCCAGTGCCCAGCCCACATGAGGCAGTGAAGGCGTCCTTCTCTTTCAGCCAAACCCCAGACCCAACAGCACCATCTCCCCGCCTTGCCTGGGGACATGGTTCCATGGCTGTTCTCTTTCTCCCATCACTGCCGCCTCCTCTCTCCTGGCCCCTGCGCGTCACCTGGGACGTCCCTTTTTGCTGCTGGCCCAGGAAGTTGGCCCGACCCCTGCATTCCATCACCCGTCCCACTACGCTTGTTTCCGAGTTTCCGAGATGCAGAGCGGTTTTGCATCTGCCACCACCTGCCCCAGGATCTGGGGGACTGGGGAGGATGGAGCCTTTTCAGATGGGGCTCTTTAGGGTTCTAGTCCCAGGTAGGATGAAGCACAAACAGCACCCCTCCCCAGCCGCACAGCTCAGAACTCACTGGCCGCAGGCACAGGGCACACAGGTACTGAGAGGGGCAGGGGAGAGGGAGCCCAGACCATGAAGAATCACCAACTGGACCGGGAATTTACGATTCCTCCCCTCCCAGTGACTTCTGTCTGTGACCTGGGGGAGACCCAGAAGCAAACAGAAAAAGAAAAAACTCTGGAAGACTTCTGGTTTAGGTTCAGTCAAGAACAGGAAAGGGGCCTGGTGTGGTAGCCTACTGGCTAAAGTCCTCGCCTTGCACGCACCGGGATCCCATATAGATGTCAATTCGTATCCCGGCTGCTCCACTTTCCCATCCAGCTCCCTGCTTGTGGCCTTGGAAAGCAGTCGAGGACGGCCCAAAGCCTTGGGACCCTGCACCTGCGTGGGAGACCCAGAAGAGTTCCTGACTCCTGGCTTCGGATCGGCTCAGCAAAAGCTGTTGCAGTCACTTGATGAATGAATCAGTGGACGGAAGATCTTCCTCTCTGTTTCTCCTGTTCTCTGTAAATCTGACTTTCCAATAAAAATAAATAATTATTATTAAAAAAAAAAAAGAAGAAGAAGAAGAACAGAAAAGCTGGAACAGGCACCGTGGGTCAAGCAGGTGAAGCTGCTTCTTGCAATACTGGCATCCCGGGCGGAAGCACTGGTTGGAGTCCTGGCTCTGCCGCCTCCCTGCTGGTGGCACTAGGCAGTGGGCAGTGCGCCGTGTGTGTGAGTGCTTGGGTGTCTGCCTCCATAGGAGACCCGG